ACGTGCTACAAAGCGTGTGCTAGAATAGCTCCCACCTGTTCTGGCTTCACACCGCACCCAGTGCGAGCAGCAGGCTCCAGGTACCCTCGAGCGATGTGGGTCTTCTGTGTGTGCTGCTGTGAGCCCACGTGCGGTACGTGCTACAAAGCGTGTGCTAGAATAGCTCCCACCTGTTCTGGCTTCACACCGCACCCAGTGCGAGCAGCAGGCTCCAGGTACCCTCGAGCGATGTGGGTCTTCTGTGTGTGCTGCTGTGAGCCCACGTGCGGTACGTGCTACAAAGCGTGTGCTAGAATAGCTCCCACCTGTTCTGGCTTCACACCGCACCCAGTGCGAGCAGCAGGCTCCAGGTACCCTCGAGCGATGTGGGTCTTCTGTGTGTGCTGCTGTGAGCCCACGTGCGGTATGTGCTACAAAGCGTGTGCTCGAATAGCTCCCACCTGTTCTGGCTTCACACCGCACCCAGTGCGAGCAGCAGGCTCCAGGTACCCTCGAGCGATGTGGGTCTTCTGTGTGTGCTGCTGTGAGCCCACATGCGGTATGTGCTACAAAGCGTGTGCTAGAATAGCTCCCACCTGTTCTGGCTTCACACCGCACCCAGTGCGAGCAGCAGGCTCCAGGTACCCTCGAGCGATGTGGGTCTTCTGTGTGTGCTGCTGTGAGCCCACGTGCGGTATGTGCTACAAAGCATGTGCTAGAATAGCTCCCACCTGTTCTGGCTTCACACCGCACCCAGTGCGAGCAGCAGGCTCCAGGTACCCTCTATCGATGTGGGTCTTCTGTGTGTGCTGCTGTGAGCCCACGTGCGGTATGTGCTACAAAGCGTGTGCTAGAATAGCTCCCACCTGTTCTGGCTTCACACCGCACCCAGTGCGAGCAGCAGGCTCCAGGTACCCTCTATCGATGTGGGTCTTCTGTGTGTGCTGCTGTGAGCCCACGTGCGGTATGTGCTACAAAGCGTGTGCTAGAATAGCTCCCACCTGTTCTGGCTTCACACCGCACCCAGTGCGAGCAGCAGGCTCCAGGTACCCTCGAGCGATGTGGGTCTTCTATGTGTGCTGCTGTGAGCCCACGTGCGGTACGTGCTACAAAGCGTGTGCTAGAATAGCTCCCACCTGTTCTGGCTTCACACCGCACCCAGTGCGAGCAGCAGGCTCCAGGTACCCTCTATCGATGTGGGTCTTCTGTGTGTGCTGCTGTGAGCCCACGTGCGGTACGTGCTACAAAGCGTGTGCTAGAATAGCTCCCACCTGTTCTGGCTTCACACCGCACCCAGTGCGAGCAGCAGGCTCCAGGTACCCTCTATCGATGTGGGTCTTCTGTGTGTGCTGCTGTGAGCCCACGTGCGGTATGTGCTACAAAGCGTGTGCTAGAATAGCTCCCACCTGTTCTGGCTTCACACCGCACCCAGTGCGAGCAGCAGGCTCCAGGTACCCTCTATCGATGTGGGTCTTCTGTGTGTGCTGCTGTGAGCCCACGTGCGGTACGTGCTACAAAGCGTGTGCTAGAATAGCTCCCACCTGTTCTGGCTTCACACCGCACCCAGTGCGAGCAGCAGGCTCCAGGTACCCTCTATCGATGTGGGTCTTCTGTGTGTGCTGCTGTGAGCCCACGTGCGGTACGTGCTACAAAGCGTGTGCTAGAATAGCTCCCACCTGTTCTGGCTTCACACCGCACCCAGTGCGAGCAGCAGGCTCCAGGTACCCTCGAGCGATGTGGGTCTTCTGTGTGTGCTGCTGTGAGCCCACGTGCGGTATGTGCTACAAAGCGTGTGCTAGAATAGCTCCCACCTGTTCTGGCTTCACACCGCACCCAGTGCGAGCAGCAGGCTCCAGGTACCCTCTATCGATGTGGGTCTTCTGTGTGTGCTGCTGTGAGCCCACGTGCGGTATGTGCTACAAAGCGTGTGCTAGAATAGCTCCCACCTGTTCTGGCTTCACACCGCACCCAGTGCGAGCAGCAGGCTCCAGGTACCCTCTATCGATGTGGGTCTTCTGTGTGTGCTGCTGTGAGCCCACGTGCGGTATGTGCTACAAAGCGTGTGCTAGAATAGCTCCCACCTGTTCTGGCTTCACACCGCACCCAGTGCGAGCAGCAGGCTCCAGGTACCCTCGAGCGATGTGGGTCTTCTGTGTGTGCTGCTGTGAGCCCACGTGCGGTATGTGCTACAAAGCGTGTGCTCGAATAGCTCCCACCTGTTCTGGCTTCACACCGCACCCAGTGCGAGCAGCAGGCTCCAGGTACCCTCGAGCGATGTGGGTCTTCTGTGTGTGCTGCTGTGAGCCCACGTGCGGTACGTGCTACAAAGCGTGTGCTAGAATAGCTCCCACCTGTTCTGGCTTCACACCGCACCCAGTGCGAGCAGCAGGCTCCAGGTACCCTCGAGCGATGTGGGTCTTCTGTGTGTGCTGCTGTGAGCCCACGTGCGGTATGTGCTACAAAGCGTGTGCTCGAATAGCTCCCACCTGTTCTGGCTTCACACCGCACCCAGTGCGAGCAGCAGGCTCCAGGTACCCTCGAGCGATGTGGGTCTTCTGTGTGTGCTGCTGTGAGCCCACGTGCGGTATGTGCTACAAAGCGTGTGCTAGAATAGCTCCCACCTGTTCTGGCTTCACACCGCACCCAGTGCGAGCAGCAGGCTCCAGGTACCCTCGAGCGATGTGGGTCTTCTGTGTGTGCTGCTGTGAGCCCACGTGCGGTATGTGCTACAAAGCATGTGCTAGAATAGCTCCCACCTGTTCTGGCTTCACACCGCACCCAGTGCGAGCAGCAGGCTCCAGGTACCCTCTATCGATGTGGGTCTTCTGTGTGTGCTGCTGTGAGCCCACGTGCGGTATGTGCTACAAAGCGTGTGCTAGAATAGCTCCCACCTGTTCTGGCTTCACACCGCACCCAGTGCGAGCAGCAGGCTCCAGGTACCCTCTATCGATGTGGGTCTTCTGTGTGTGCTGCTGTGAGCCCACGTGCGGTATGTGCTACAAAGCGTGTGCTAGAATAGCTCCCACCTGTTCTGGCTTCACACCGCACCCAGTGCGAGCAGCAGGCTCCAGGTACCCTCGAGCGATGTGGGTCTTCTATGTGTGCTGCTGTGAGCCCACGTGCGGTACGTGCTACAAAGCGTGTGCTAGAATAGCTCCCACCTGTTCTGGCTTCACACCGCACCCAGTGCGAGCAGCAGGCTCCAGGTACCCTCTATCGATGTGGGTCTTCTGTGTGTGCTGCTGTGAGCCCACGTGCGGTATGTGCTACAAAGCGTGTGCTAGAATAGCTCCCACCTGTTCTGGCTTCACACCGCACCCAGTGCGAGCAGCAGGCTCCAGGTACCCTCTATCGATGTGGGTCTTCTGTGTGTGCTGCTGTGAGCCCACGTGCGGTACGTGCTACAAAGCGTGTGCTAGAATAGCTCCCACCTGTTCTGGCTTCACACCGCACCCAGTGCGAGCAGCAGGCTCCAGGTACCCTCTATCGATGTGGGTCTTCTGTGTGTGCTGCTGTGAGCCCACGTGCGGTACGTGCTACAAAGCGTGTGCTAGAATAGCTCCCACCTGTTCTGGCTTCACACCGCACCCAGTGCGAGCAGCAGGCTCCAGGTACCCTCGAGCGATGTGGGTCTTCTGTGTGTGCTGCTGTGAGCCCACGTGCGGTATGTGCTACAAAGCGTGTGCTAGAATAGCTCCCACCTGTTCTGGCTTCACACCGCACCCAGTGCGAGCAGCAGGCTCCAGGTACCCTCTATCGATGTGGGTCTTCTGTGTGTGCTGCTGTGAGCCCACGTGCGGTATGTGCTACAAAGCGTGTGCTAGAATAGCTCCCACCTGTTCTGGCTTCACACCGCACCCAGTGCGAGCAGCAGGCTCCAGGTACCCTCTATCGATGTGGGTCTTCTGTGTGTGCTGCTGTGAGCCCACGTGCGGTATGTGCTACAAAGCGTGTGCTAGAATAGCTCCCACCTGTTCTGGCTTCACACCGCACCCAGTGCGAGCAGCAGGCTCCAGGTACCCTCGAGCGATGTGGGTCTTCTGTGTGTGCTGCTGTGAGCCCACGTGCGGTACGTGCTACAAAGCGTGTGCTAGAATAGCTCCCACCTGTTCTGGCTTCACACCGCACCCAGTGCGAGCAGCAGGCTCCAGGTACCCTCTATCGATGTGGGTCTTCTGTGTGTGCTGCTGTGAGCCCACGTGCGGTACGTGCTACAAAGCGTGTGCTGGAATAGCTCCCACCTGTTCTGGCTTCACACCGCACCCAGTGCGAGCAGCAGGCTCCAGGTACCCTCGAGCGATGTGGGTCTTCTGTGTGTGCTGCTGTGAGCCCACGTGCGGTACGTGCTACAAAGCGTGTGCTAGAATAGCTCCCACCTGTTCTGGCTTCACACCGCACCCAGTGCGAGCAGCAGGCTCCAGGTACCCTCGAGCGATGTGGGTCTTCTGTGTGTGCTGCTGTGAGCCCACGTGCGGTATGTGCTACAAAGCGTGTGCTAGAATAGCTCCCACCTGTTCTGGCTTCACACCGCACCCAGTGCGAGCAGCAGGCTCCAGGTACCCTCGAGCGATGTGGGTCTTCTATGTGTGCTGCTGTGAGCCCACGTGCGGTACGTGCTACAAAGCGTGTGCTAGAATAGCTCCCACCTGTTCTGGCTTCACACCGCACCCAGTGCGAGCAGCAGGCTCCAGGTACCCTCGAGCGATGTGGGTCTTCTGTGTGTGCTGCTGTGAGCCCACGTGCGGTATGTGCTACAAAGCGTGTGCTAGAATAGCTCCCACCTGTTCTGGCTTCACACCGCACCCAGTGCGAGCAGCAGGCTCCAGGTACCCTCGAGCGATGTGGGTCTTCTGTGTGTGCTGCTGTGAGCCCACGTGCGGTATGTGCTACAAAGCGTGTGCTAGAATAGCTCCCACCTGTTCTGGCTTCACACCGCACCCAGTGCGAGCAGCAGGCTCCAGGTACCCTCGAGCGATGTGGGTCTTCTGTGTGTGCTGCTGTGAGCCCACGTGCGGTATGTGCTACAAAGCGTGTGCTAGAATAGCTCCCACCTGTTCTGGCTTCACACCGCACCCAGTGCGAGCAGCAGGCTCCAGGTACCCTCGAGCGATGTGGGTTTTCTCGTCAGAAATGTACCCCACCAGGCGAATCACCTCCATGCGATCCAAGAGGGGCGCAGGAATGGTCTCAAGCATGTTGGCTGTGCACACAAAGAGCACCTGACGGGAGGGGTTGTGGGTGGGGAGGCGGGAGGGGAAGGAGGTGAATACGAATGTAAGTTTGCCTTGTGTCACTCGAGCCACTAGCGGTATCGCCTCCATGCACGGCACACGCACGGCACACGCACGGCACACGCACGGCACACGCACGGCACACGCATGGCACACGCACGGCACACGCACAGCACACGCATGGCACACGCACGGCACAAACACGGCACACGCATGGCACACGCACGGCACACGCACGGCACACGCACGGCACACACACCTTGGAGACGTCCAAAGGCACGTGCAGGTAGTGGTCGAGGAACGACGCATTCTGCTCGGGGCACGTGCACTTGCATACACACTTGATGCGTGCACAAAAACTTTTGAGTCGACTCAAAAGTCAGCATACACACTTGAAGGTGCACAACAACAGAGAGACACCAACAGACACACAAGGCCCACCTTGGAGAGGTCCAGAGGCACGTCCAGGTAGTGGTCCAGGAACGACGCATTCTGCTCCGCATCCAGCATCTCCAGCAGCGCTCCTGCTGGGTCCCCTGCATGGCCCCTACCCAGCTGGCAGCGACGGATTGGAGAGGGGGAGGGGCAGCAGTGTATAAAGTTTGCAAGGGAAACTATGATGAGAGGAGAGTTGGGGTACACAAAAAGCCTATTCATCAGCGCTCCTGATGGGTTGCCCGCCCGCATGGCTCAGATCAGACCCAGCTGGGGCAAGGATTGGCCGAGAAATGGGAGGGGAGAAACCATCCCACACGCACACACCCTGGTAAAAATTCTCCCCGTATAAAATCCGCGTGCATTGAGGTGTTTTGTGAGGCGCCTTGAAAAAGAACCCAACCCTGTGGACTCGAGGCACTGCACCATCTAGTGTGCGCATGGGCCCCATCCCACGTCTCCCTTACTGATGCTCCCGCCCTCCCCCACGTTGCACACCACACTAGTCCGCTCCGCTGCGACAGACGGCCCACCCCCCACACTTACCTTGTCGATCTCGTTAATGGGAATGAGCGGATTCCCTTTATACATGAGGCAGTGCGCCATCTTGTGTGCACATGGCCCCAATCCACCCCACACGCACACCTTGGTGTCTGCGTCACTCACCAATTGTACCTCCCTCACTTATTCACTCGCACCCCATCACCATACCTTGTCGATCTCGTCGATAAGAACAAGAGGGTTGGCAACGCCTGTGGACTTGACGCACTGCACCATCTTACCGGGCATGGCGGCATGGCCCTTATCCCACACGCACACTTTGATGCATGCCACCCTCAATCGCATCGCACCACACACCATACCTTGTCGATCTCGTCAATGAGCACGAGAGGGTTGGCAACGCCTGTGGACTTGAGGCATTGCACCATCTTGCCGGGCATGGCGCCCACATACGTGCGGCGGTGACCCTGAGATGGTGGGGTGGGTTGAGGAAGGACGGGGGGGCACGAAGGCGTCACAAGGGCGACCAAAAAGGGCCTTCGCCACACCTGTGGACTTGAGGCACTGCACCAACTTGCCTGGCATAGCGCCCACGTAGGTTCGTCGGTGGCCCTGAGCATTGGGATTTAACAGGATTAAGGGAGGATTGGGAAATAACGGGTTGGGAGAGAGAGGTTTGGGGAAGATAAAGGGGGTACAAGACGTCTCAGAGGGTGTGAAGGGACAGTGGGGAAAGACAATATGGTTTCGAATGCAGATTTTTAAACCCCATGGTGATGTGTTTGTGGATGCGTGAAAACAAAAAAAAAGCCCAACCATGACCTCCGCCACGTCAGATGAGCCTTACCTTGATCTCTGCCACGTCAGACAGCCCTCCCACAGAGAAGCGGTAGAACTTGCGATCCAGGGCGTTGGCGATGGAGCGACCAATGGACGTCTTTCCCACTCCTGGCGGCCCCACCAGGCAGATGATCTTGCCTGATTAAGAGCAACCACACACCAGGGGAAACAAGAGAAGAGAGACAAAGAGCGACAAGGGACGTGTGAGAAGCGGTAGAACTTGCGATCCAGGGCGTTGGCGATGGAGCGACCAATGGACGTCTTTCCCACTCCTGGCGGCCCCACCAGGCAGATGATCTTGCCTGATTAAGAGCAACCACACACCAGGGGAAACAAGAGAAGAGAGACAAAGGGCGACAAGGGACGTGTGAGAAGCGGTAGAACTTGCGATCCAGGGCGTTGGCGATGGAGCGACCAATGGACGTCTTTCCCACTCCTGGCGGCCCCACCAGGCAGATGATCTTGCCTGATTAAGAGCAACCACACACCAGGGGAAACAAGAGAAGAGAGACAAAGAGCGACAAGGGACGTGTGAGAAGCGGTAGAACTTGCGATCCAGGGCGTTGGCGATGGAGCGACCGATGGACGTCTTTCCCACCCCTGGTGGGCCCACCAGACAGATGATCGTGCCTGGATGACGTGGCAACACACACGGGGTAACAAGGGAAGATACAACGGGAGACAAATGAAGACTGGGGTGATGCGGGACGAGGGAGACAAGGGCGAGAGTAGTGCAGTGGCACGGCTGCTGCAAATTTTCAACCTTTCCACGGAAAATGTCCAGCCAGAACCCACACACACACCAGCAACCCCACCTACCCGGGCCACCCCTTTCACCCACACCACACATACCGTGCGTGCTGCCTTTCAGCCTCCCAACAGCAATGAACTCCAAAATGCGTTCCTTCACATCCGTCAGCCCGTAGTGATCTGCATCCAGCACCTGCTGCGCCCGCACCACGTCCAGATTCTCCTCGCTGACAAAAGGCAAGGACCGGGGATGGGAAAACGAAGGAACAGCGGATGAGGGAATGGGAGAGGGAACGGCAGCACCCGTGCGGTCAACCCGTAGTGATCCGCGTCCAGCACCTGCTGCGCCCGCACCACATCTAAATTTTCCTCGCTGACAGAAGGTAAACGGGCGCATGGGAAAATGGGGACACAAGGAGGTGCGGTCAACCCGTAGTGATCCGCGTCCAGCACCTGCTGCGCCCGCACCACGTCCAAGTTCTCCTCGCTGCGAGAAAGCGGGAATGGGGGCGTGTCAGTACGGGGGATGGGGGAACGGAAAGGAAGCAGCAGCGGGGTCAGCCCATACAGGCCCGCATCCAGCACCTGCTGCTGCCCCATCCACCCATCCACCCATCATCCACCCATCATCCACCCATCATCCACCCATCATCCACCCATCATCCACCCATCATCCACCCATCATCCACCCATCATCCACCCATCATCCACCCATCATCCACCCATCCACCCATCATCCACCCATCATCCACCCATCATCCACCCATCATCCACCCATCCACCCATCATCCACCCATCCACCCATCATGCCCCCAGGGCATGGACGTGAGCCAGTCGAGGTAGTTGCGCGTCACGTTGAACTCAGAGGAACTCGCCTCAACCCACCCATTTGCCCATCCATCCAGCCATCCATCCAGTCACCCAGTCACCCATCTCCACCCATCTGCACCCATCTCCATCCCCCCCCCCCCCCCCACCTGTAGTGCCCCCAGGGAATGGACGTGAGCCAGTCGAGGTAGTTGCGCGTCACGTTGAACTCAGAGGAGCTTGCTTCCAGCCCCTGCAGCTTCGCCATCTCGTCCTCTATCACCTGGTGTGGCGATCCCAATGCGTGAAGGGTGTAATACAAGTTTGACTGAACTTGGGTACAAAGAGATAGATTCGACTTGGATCCAACGGTCCTAACTCGCTCTATTCTACTTTGACTGAACTTGGGTAGCTGTGGATTGGGAGAGCAAGAAGACATATGAGCTCGCTCCAACCCTTGTAGCTTCGCCATCTCGTCCTTCTTGTATCTCCTTCTTGCTTGCACGTCCTCTATCACCTGGTGGCGGTTATTGAACACCTGAGGACGAAAGACCGAATACAAGAAGGAGCGAAAACGAGGAGATACAAGGGACATGCATGGAAGGGGGGCGGAGGAGGTACACAGGAGGAGCGATAGAGAGGAGGTTGTTATGGCGACGTCAAGATAAATCACACCACAACCAACAAATAGTAAGTAAATATTTGAGAAATTCTCACAACAAGTACTTCTTGCTAGAGCGTCGTGCAGGTACCTGCATGGCTGCTTCTGAGGCGCCTCAAAAGTTGCTAGAGCGTCGTGCAGGTACCTGCATGGCTGCTGGCGGGCAGTTCTGCTGAAACGGCTGAAGCTTCTCCTTGAAGCGTCCTGGGCACACATGGGATGTGATGTGAGAGGCGAGCATGATGCAGGTGAGTGGAGAAAGGTGAAGAAGGTGACTTTTGAGTCGACTCAAAAGTCACGATGCAGGTGAGTGGAGAAAGGTGAAGGTGACTTTTGAGTCGACTCAAAAGTCACGATGCAGGTGAGTGGAGAAAGGTGAAGAAGGTTGCAGTGCCAAGCAAGAGAGTGGGATACATGCAGTCGTGGAATCGGATGGCATGGCATGACGTGGCATTGTAGCACGGCACAGGACAGCATGACTCACCAATGAGTGCAGTCTTGTCATCCTTCTCCAGCCCCAGCTCCTGAAAGAGCAGAAGAGGTGGAAGATGGGAGGACAGAGCATCAAAAGAGGCTGATGAGAGAATAGAATGAAGAAGAAAACAAAGTCGAAGAAGGATGTCCTCCCAGATTAAAAAAAAAACAAACAAACAAACAAAACGGGGGTTACCTTTGGCATTGACTCAAGCTGTTCCAAGCATCACTCCTCACTTACCTTCTTGATAGCCTTGAGCTGTTCCAAGAGCATGTACTGGCGACTCCCCTCCCAGCACACACAGGCCTCACCTGTTCAATCATCTCACGCTCTAGATCCCATCTTATCTTTTGATCCCCTCGCACCTTCTTGATGGCCTTGAGCTGTTCCATGAGCATGTATCTGCGGCTCTCCCCTGCCAATTTCTCCTCCACGCCTTTGGCTATGTTGGCCTGCCAGTGCACAAGGGAAGTGAGGACAAGGGAGTTGAGGGAAAAAAAAAAAGAGAGAGGTTAGGCTTGTTCGTCAAGCGGTTCACGGATAAAGGAGAAAATAAGAAAGGTAGACACAGAGAAAACAAGGAAGGATGCGGAATGCACATGGTGAAAATGCAAAACGATGCTCAGAACGCACAAGCACATCACCCCTCACCTGCAGCTTGGCGAGCTCTAATTCCTTCTTGAGCAGCATAAGCGCAAGGGAGAGGCGCTTTCCCACCTGGGAGAGTAGGGATGGAAAGGGGGCAATTGACACGAGGGGAGGGAGAGGAGGAAGAAGAAGGGAATCGGATAGAGGGAGAAATCAGGTGCAGGATCAGGGCAGACAAGAGCCCATGCATATGCTACACCACAGACAACAAACGCACGCACACACATCTAAGAGGTGACTTTGAGTCGACTCAAAAGTCATCTCGTTACAATGTCACACAGTGCCAGCAAGAACCCATGCACCCACTACACCACAGACAACAAACGCATGCACACACATCTACAAGCACACATGTACACACATGTACACACATGTACACACATGTACACACATGCACACATGATGCCACCACCACGACTCACATCCAGCTCTTCTAGAACCGACTGGAGTGTCGGCTCATCCGCGGTCGTGAGTGCAGCGCCAAAGTCAGCCATCCTGGAGGCGTTGAACTCGCCCACGTGCTGCACGAACAGGGCGATGTGCTCCTTCCTTGTACAGCGGAGGGTTGTGGGGGGGGACCGGGGGTGAGGGTGACTTACATCCAGCTCTTCCAGAACCGACTGGAGTGTCGGTTCGTCCGCAGTGGTGAGTGCGGCCCCGAAATCCGCCATCCTGGAGGCGTTGAACTCGCCCACGTGCTGCACGAACATTGCAATGTGCTCCTTGTACAGCGGGTTGTGCCTCACGAGGTCCTTGAGCGTGCTCACCACCTCCATCACCGTGGCTTTTATCATCACGCTGTTGCTGTCGTAGGGGAGATCCTGAGGTGAAGGGGGGGGTGCAGAGGGGTGCAATGTGTGTATGAGGGTAAGAGTTGTGCTTCACGAGGTCCTTGAGTGTGCTCACCACCTCCATCACCGTGGCTTTAATCATCACGCTGTTGCTGTCGTAGGGGAGATCCTGGTATATGGTGGTGCGCAAGAGTGCGACGTGATGCAATGCGGTGCAGTGGGGTGCAAGAGGATGAAGGCTGGGGGCATCAGCACCATCACGAGTTCCTTGAGCGTGCTCACCACCTCCATTACTGTGGCTTTAATCATCACACTGTTGCTGTCGTATGGTAGATCCTGAGGTGCAGGAGAAAGTGTGGTCGGATGCAATGTGGTGCAATGTGGTGTGTAGGTGGGTAAAGGTCGAGACTCGAGAGTACCACCAACACGAGGCCGGGATTTTTTTTAGAATTCTCAAAAGGTCCTCGAACGTGCTCAGCACCTCGAACGTGCTCAGCACCTCGAACGTGCTCAGCACCTCGAACGTGCTCAGCACCTCGAACGTGCTCAGCACCTCCATCACCGTGCCTTCTATTGTCGCACTGTTGCTGTCGTACGGCAGATCCTGGCATGAGCATGGGATGAAAATGAAGAGGTGCAGTGGGGTGCAGTAAGGTGCAATGTGTGTAAGACGGTGAGGGTTTTGCCTCACGAGGTCCTTGAGCGTGCTCAGCACCTCCATCACCGTGCCTTTTATCGTCGCACTGTTGCTGTCGTACGGCAGATCCTGGTGTGTGGCGTACACTGAAAGAAAGCACCACTGACACTCCTCCTCCCACTCTCCCGAACCCATTTTCATCACATCCCACCCATTCCCAACCTCACATGGCCCACCACGGTGACATGCATAGAGCAGTCAGCAGGTCCTCTGCACTATGCCTGTCAACCTCCTCACACCACACATCACAAAAAGAAGAACTGCCACCCCAGTCACTCTCCCACCCACACCCACCTTCACCACATCCCACCCATCCCCACCTTGATATGGTCCACGGTGACCGTGAGCGGGTCCTCCCCCACCATGCCTGTCAGCCTCACCTCCACGATACGAGTGGCCTAGAGTGTCTATGAAATGAGGGAACCGTTCCCCACCCATCCCCACCTTGATATGGTCCACGGTGACAGTGAGCGGGTCCTCCCCCACCATGCCTGTCAGCCTCAGCCGCCGGTGCCCCATCAGCAGCACGCAACATGATCACACTATGGAGGATGGCCGCGAGTTTTGCGCGGCCTAGAGTGACTATAAGGAAACCGTTCCCCACCCATCCCCACCTTGATATGGTCCACGGTGACAGTGAGCGGGTCCTCTCCCACCATGCCTGTCAGCCTCAGTCGCCGGTGCCCCATCAGCAGCACCTGCGCTGAGTCGCCGTCCAGTGGCTTGATCACCTGCATCACCTGTAGAGGGAGAGGGAGAGGGAGGAGAGTGGGGAGTGGGAGAGGAGGGTGGGCGTGTGGGCAATGGTGGTATTGCGGCACCACCAACCGCACACATGCCGGTGCCCCATCAGCAGCACCTGCGCTGAGTCCCCGTCAAGCAACTTGATCACCTGCATCTCCTGCAGGGGGGGAGGGAGGAGAGGCGGGAGAGGGGGGGAGGGAGGAGTGCGAGAGGTGGAGAGAGGTGGCTTGATTACCAGCATCAACGGCTTGAGCACCCTTCCATTTCCTTCAAACCCCACTAAACCCACCCCTTGCATCACCACCGCTCTCCACCACTTCTCACCTGAGCGAACGTCCCTGTCTCGTGCAGCTTGCTATAAAGCTCCCCTCCCTTAATAAACGCCTCCCCTCCACCCCCACCCGCAACACCTTCCCCCTCCCCGGGCCCCCCTCCCACCCCTGCACCTGTTCCATCCGCCTCCCCATGCGGCTTCCCTCCCCCCACCCCTACTCCCCCTCCACTAGCTACCTCCCTGCCCCACTCTTCAGCAACGCCATCACTCCTCTCTGGCACCAACTCTCGCCTGTCACTGCTACTGCTTGTGGCTGCTCCTTTTGCCCCATCTGCTCCCTCTGCTCCTGCTGTTCCGGCTGCACTAGGTGAAGGATGAGCGGCAGAAGAAGAAGCAGAGGCAGCGAGGTCGTCCCGGACAAGGAATGCGCCCACGTAGGGCGTGCCTTGCGCCTTGAGCTCCTGCAGCGCCGCCACCAGCTTGGGGTTCTGCAGCAGCCATGAGAAGTGGGGGGAGTGGAAGAAAGAAGAGAGGGGAAAGAGTGGGGACAAGAAGAAAGGGGAACGCGCCCACGTAGGGTGTCCCTCGCGCCTTGAGCTCCTGAAGCGCCGCCACCAGCTTGGGATTCTGCAGCCAAGAGGGAAAGGGGGGAAGGGGGAGGGATTAGGGGTTTGGGGAGTGTGGACGTAGGGAAGGGGGAGGGCATGCGGTGTAAAAAAGCGCTTGCATCAGCTTGGGGTTCTGCAGCAGGGAGGGTCGGCGGGGGGAGAGGTGGGGGGGCGGGCATGAAAACACGTAGGGGAAATTCGAACGGTACGCGCTCCCCTCCCTCCCTCCTGCACCTTGACGGTATAGAGAAACGGAACACATGCGTGGCCGCACCTTGACTATAACGGGGACGTAGAAGCCTGGGAATAGTGGCCTCCGTGTGAGCGGAATCGCGAGCACTTTCGGGTAATGCTCGGGGCGCGGACCTGCGGGGACGATGGACGTCTCTTCCGCCAACCCCCCCGCTTCGCCCGCTCCTTCCCCCGCTGCGCCTTCTCCCATCACAAATTCCGCCCCGCCTTCCGCGGACGCGCCAGCATTTTGCCCCGCAATCCCCACCACGGGATTCCCTTCCCCACGCGCGGCCGCCTCAGCGTTAGCAGCCGCTGCGGCGGGAGCGGAAGCGGCTCCCCTGACTTCCGTGGCTGACTTGATGCGCGAATCACGACGTCTAATGCGGCCGCGCCGGGCGCCATGGTACCCTGCGTGCGCTACAGCATCCGCTGCGACTTCCTCCCCCACCGCTTCCGCCGATGCCTCACTAGCGGCGGCTTCCCCCGCCGCTTCCCCCGCCCCTTCCGCTGATGCTTCCGACACGCGCGCGGATTCCCCTCCGCCTTCCGCAACTACTTCCGCCGCAAGGCCCCTTCTCGCAGAATCCCCATTCTCGCTTGCATTCGGCGCATCCGCAGCCACATCCCCCTTCTTGCCTGCTGCATTACTCCCGTTCCCTGAATCTCCGCCGGCATTTGCGGTGAATCCGCGAACCCATCCTGTTCCGACGGCGGCCTGAGCCTGATCCCAGAGAACTAAGACTCGGTACTGGACTGGCTGTAGCGCGCGGTGCGCTGCGGATGGGTGCAGTGCGGTGCAGAGGACACGATCGAGGCGCCGTGGTAAGCACGGCTTTAAAGCTGCCAGCATGGCAACTAGGGATGTAGGCACTAGGCCACCCTACTGCCTAGCTATGCTGCCTACCAGGATCCGTGAATTAGGCGACCAGTAGCATTGAAATGATATTGTGCCGATTCAGCACCAAATGAAGCAGTGGAGGTGAATGTGCTTTGCTAAGGGGTCGAATGCTGGGATTTTGCATCAGGAAACGCTTAGCTAAGAATTGTTAGTAGCAGCCCAGTTGCGTGAATCAGAAGCGAGTCCACGTGGAAAACTGGCGACGCTCCTGGCGAATCGCCAGAATGTTCGACTTGAAGGGAGGATTCTCCACTAGCATAAGCCTCGATAATGTCTAGACACGAGAAACAGAGAACAGTAGGTACTGTATGCAAAACCTGGAGGGGAAAAGCCAGAATATAAATATTTTCACGGTCTGGATCCCACAGAGCCACAAGCTGCTGAAATGGTAACCGCGGCTACTTGTAGGGGCCGAAACGCCACTTGTTCGCGCCACTTTCTGCCTCGTGGATCGCCACAAGGAATCCAGCGGTTCAAACATGGCGGAGCGCCCTTGAGCAATCTCCATGCTTTGGTGAAGGCTACCATGGTGGTAACCGCTCGTGCACGGCGGAAATTGAAAGTCAGCCAATCAACGCTCCGACAGTCATCGACCGAGTTTTGCCGAGATCAGGCAGCCTGATCTTCACTTTCGCGCACAATATCCGACCAATCTCCAGGAGAAACGAGATAAGGGCGCGTAACCATTTTGCACCCGACGGTTCGAACCGTGGACCGTCCGGGTTACGAAACGGTAACAAGCTTCGCACAATGTCGTAATCATGTTCGCTAAGGTGTTGGCGACATCGCCAACTAAACGGACTGTAGTGACACTTTTTCCCACTTCAACGGTCCGAAATCTGAACCGTGGACAGTCCGAATCCCAAACGGACTGTCCGACAGTCCTTGCACACGGTTGGAGGGCGACGCAAAAATTGTCGAGTCACCTCTTCCACCAACAAAAACGTGCGAGGCTACTTCACGAATCGACATTGACCAACCAGAGACAACCCATAAACAAAAATGATTCGATAACGACGTTTGCGAGCTTGAGAGAATTGCGTAACGCTCGTACAGAGATCGCGAAACTGTACATTATGAAAAAAGTGTCACAACTGTCTTCGGACAGTCCGAAGTTGCAAAAAAGCAGTCGGACGGTCCCGTTCTCGATAGGTGGACCGTACTTCGTTTTAAGCGGACTATCCGTCAAAATTGTAAAATGCAAAATGGTTACGCGCCCTAACGCCTTCTGACAGGCGTGAGCGTAGGCGGGAGGTTACTGGAACCGACAAAAGTCAGCGGATCTGTGGGTGCGGTGCAACCGAGTCGCACATCTCCGTTGTCATTGGCACCATTGACCCAGAAACAAATTGGCACCTTGTTGCTCAGAAACAAATTGAACCACGCTATATGACTTTTCCACCGTTTTCACATCGTACGAAACCGTAGTTTAGTGGAGATTTCTGGCACCTCCTAGTGGGTTGACACTCCACTAGAACTAAAATCATGAGGCCTATGTCCGGAAAAGAAGGGGCACTGGCACAAGAAAGCATTGACAAGAACGAATCGATATGGGTTGGGGATGTAGCTAAAAGAGCAACCGCTGGGCGTTTGAAGGTATTCCGCAGAATCAGCGAGGTTCGCGAATAACAGGACGCATCAGCCGGAGGGGTTAGATGAAGCGTTAGCCGGAGGCAGTCATATCCGCTCCATCACAGCAACGTCTGCTGTGCTCATTGCGCTCTGCGCAGCCGTTTAATGGAGTCACGCATATACTCGGTTCGTAAATATCCATACCATTCGTGAATAGGAAGCACGAACCTCGAACTCACCGTTCACCATTGACCAGAATTTCAGCTACTTTAGGTTCAGGATTGAGGGATACTAGACAGCCTCATTCGTCCGACGAATTAGCCATTCCGTTTCCTCGTTTGCTCAACCCAATCCATACACTATCGTCAACACACCCACTTGAGGCATTTCCTAAGTGCCTCGGATTACGAAAGAATGAGTCCGAGTCGTTGCCACCCCGTCGAACCAAACACTCCCAGCAAAAGCACCAGCGTCGTCGGCGTGATAAGCAGCTGTTGGTCCACCCTAACCCCGAAGAACCTCCTTCCAGGCGACGTCATTCTCGCGCTTCACCCTGTCACAGTCTCTTATTTCCCCGAAGATGCAACAGCACACACGGTGTTCAGGCGGACTCCGACTAATCTGAGTCTGATCCGTCAAGTGCGCAGTTTGCGTCGTCTGGTGGACATGGTCGCCGTGGGATGTGCAGTGGGAGCGTTTCGTGGATGCACGGCGATGCTCACGGTGCTTCGAGGGACCAGGTAGTAATGTCTTCACGAATAATGATAAACAATTGTTGCGGTCTCACGATTCTCTCCTGTCTTTCTTTTCCCTGTGTTCTCGTATTGTTCTGTTCTGTTTTGGTTTTGATTTTCCTTACTCTTTTGGTTTGTTTTTGTACTCGTTTGAACTCGTCTTTTCACCATCTGTTATTTCCATCTTTACTCCCTGTAACCCGAGTAACCTCTCCTCCCTGGGCAGCAAATTCATTATTACAGTGGAGATCTCGCCATCAGCTTTGGTACAGGAAACCGCATCTCAAAACACGGAGGCTGAAGCAGCCCTAGCCGGATTCCATTCAACCTTGAGACTTTCAAGCCATCCGACTCCTTGCGGTTCGTCCATTTTTCAAGGCGTGACCATAGCGGAAGGGAGCCACGAGCTGTTTGCTCCCCTTGCGAGAAAAACGGAAGCCACTATTCTCCATGTCGATCGGCTCAAGGCGTTTCGACACGCTACCAGCAAAACATCATGGCCGCGACCCGTGAACCTTTCAGGAAGGCAAATTCAGGAGAGTCCTCGTCGGACAGCAGTGGCAGCGGCTGCTATAAGCAAGGGTTCAGCTGCAGAAAAGGAGTCGATGTGCCTGAAATTTCCGGCACAGGCGAGAAGAGAGGCAGCTGCATGCCATGGCGGATGCAATCTTGGGGCAATTCAAGGGTTAACTGAATACAATTGCGGAGCTGACGGCTCGTTCGCTGGCTGCTTTATCATCGAATGGGGGCTGGCGTCAAAAGCAGGGTCCGTGGGGAAGGAGAATGGCGCTCCTCCATTTAACAGTGCTGATGCATTCGTGGCGCCGTGTGCTGGAAAAGACGACGATGAGCCGCTGTACCGGCCACTGCTGGTGGATTTCAGCCGCCGCAGGTGGCAGAGGAGGGTTGGTGACATGGCAGTACGTGGATCTGTCTGTCAGGATGATGCTGCAGGATAAGGGGTTCAAGAAGCTCATCTGGACACTGTTGAGGTGAATGGAGAGGATTGGTTGTGGCAACTGCATTGGGTACGTGGAGAGGGGTGGTTCTGGAAGCAGTGGTGTTTGGTAGTAAATAGGAGGAGCTCTTGTGGCATATTCTTAATAGGAGAGTGGGTACCTGAGCACGGATCGCCCCATGGAGGATGGTGCTGGAGCAGCTGGAGGATGGATGGTTCCGTCGACCGGGATGGCGTCATCAAATAAGAGGGCTTTCTAGTTTCGATTCTGAAGCCAATCAACGCCATGCGGAGTACCACTGCAAACGGTAACACACGCAGGCTTGCTTGCAGCTTTTCCTTTTGCATTCACAAGGCAGCTACGCAAAGGAGTGACAGAATCTTTGTCCAGCGGTTGTTAGCTTGTCTGTCTCTTAGCTGTGGCCTTGTGAATGCAAAAGGGGGAGCTTGATATGCTTTTTCCTTTCGTTCTGAGTGGTGCAACCTCACACAGTGTTAGTATTCTCATTGTGGGTTCTGTTGCGTTTCATCTCTTAGCCTATACTTAATTGCATATACCCAACACACACTCTAACCAGAAACTCGTGTAGACCTAGCTCCTGCGGCATGTCAGGTATCTACACAGAAAGCTGCTACGCTCTTCCCACCATAGTCCGCAGCCAGCATCATTTCAATCAGCCAGCATTCTTCAGCCTTGCCCTCCAATTCGTCATGTCAGAAGGAGCTAACGTAAGAACAGCACCAGGCCCAACATTGTAATCTGACAGGAGCTTGTGCGCATACTTCATGTATGCTGCCTGATTCCCACAGAAATATACCTGGTTCAGGTAGCAGAACGGTTTCATCCAACGGCCCTCGTGAAGCAGCATCTGCTGGGAGGTAGGTATGCCAGTGGATTTCTGGATCGTGGACATGACGGATTCTACGGTCGCTTTGGGAGATTCCACTTCCAGGACGTAAAAGCTGCCATCGAGGGAGTTTTTTATCAGCAGCTGCATGAGAGTTGCGATCACGGAAGACCTTCGCTGCCAGATCAAACTCCAAAGCTCCAAACGTAGCTGCGGTCCCAGCAATTCGACTATGGTGACGCGTCCCGTAATTAATCAGGAACCGCACAGAAGGTCGCAGGAGTCCAAGCCGATCATTACGTGATCGATAACTGAAAACAGTTTTTAGAGGTCCGAATATGACGAGGTCCATTTTGGCAGTGAAGAATGCGTAACGCATTTAGAAAGGTCACAGGTATCGAGCGCTTCGGCTCTGGTGTTTTACCGAGAAGCAACGTGGAATTACAAGACGGCATTAGGTTGCGGGCCAACATGCACGCTGAATCTCGAATCGCGATAGTGAGTTTCGGACCGCATCTTCCGCTGAAGCACGTGGCGGACTCTAACCAGGTGTATGCGACACGCTACATATTTACCTACTGTAACATGCTTCGCGAATTACACTCCAGGCAATGCTGCTTGAGCCTCATGCGTGGATGGCCCCTTGGGAATTGTCTGCCAATTCATCCCGTACCTGCTAAACCTAACCTGTTATCTGCATGGCTGGACACACTGGTCAACCCCGAACCTGATTATTCTTGGTTTGGCGGATAACCTGGGTCTTCAGAAAGGGACCACCAAGCCAGAAGTCCCAGATTTGGTGGTTCGGTTACACTGTACCTTGATGCTGCCTTCCAGCTC